GCCCGCGGCCCCCCGCGGCCCCCGGCCCCGTGACTCTATATTTGTCTGTCGGTCCCTCGTCGCCCCGCTGCCTCTTGCCCTTGCCTTGCCGCCGCTCGAAAATTGAATGCGAAGCCCCCCAAGGAATGCCCAGGGTGTCGGTACCGCCGGGGCGTATCGAAAGTAACTTGAGGGCCGCGGGGGGCAGCAGCGAAGCCGTGGCGATGAGCGCTGACTCACTCACCCCTGTCGCTGTCCATAGCCGCGGCAGCTTTCAGCTCCTGTGGCGGCTCCAGAGTTCTCAGTCGGGTACCCGAGCGGGCTTGACATGCATCCGAAAACGACAGGTGTGTCAGTGTGTGGGAGTTCGGATATAGCACAGCTCTCGCGCACCCTACGTTTTCGGATGCGTTGCAGGGGTTGTAGGTCCGCCGGAGACCCGATTGAGAACTCCGCTTCCGCTGGAGACTCGCCGGCGGCGGGCGCGTCCAGCGATCGTCCAGCAAATCTAAGCGTGCCCGGCTGGAGCTGACCCTGTACTTTAGTCGACTGTAGTCAGTCAGTCACCCCCGTAACGGAGTCCCTCTGCTTGTTCCAGGGCTCCGCCTGCCCCGGGGATGCTGCTTCGGCGCGCTCCGCCTCGCGCCGCCATGCATCGTCAGTCCCAAGCAAACTCCGGAAGACATCAGCCATTTTGACGGGTAAGAAGGTGCTTGTCATTACGTCTGCAGCAGCAGCAACAACATCAGGGACGCCGCCGTTTTTGCCACCTTCTTTATTTTTGTGGCCCGTCCTGTAACGTAGTCAACTGCCTCGCGAGACAGCCCCCTTGAACCCGCGGCTCCCGCGTCTGCCCCGAGCTCAACTCGCGGAGGAGTGTGTAGTGTATATACATTCTCTGTTTACGGTCTTTAAATCGACGGACTCACCGCCTCTTTCCCCGATATCCCGACGTAGCCACCGCAACCCCAACCCACCAAACGCTTCGCGTCTACCGCTTTTCGACTGAAGAATGCGCACAAGCGTTGCCTGCGTCGCTTTAATGAAGGCCAAACCGCCTCTTATTTCGGATCCGCCGCCGCACCGTCCAAATTATCTTCTTAACGGTGTGCGGCGGGGCAGATCCACGGGGCAGAGCCATGGGCAGAGCATGGCTATGGGCGCGTCCGCGGCGCGTCGGCTGTGTGTGTTGTGTTACGTTGCACCAGCTGGAGGGCATTGACGTGGCCTTGGCACGCCACGCCGCGGGGCCCGGGCAAGCTCCAAGCAAGACCAGTACCCCCGGGCGCGGCGCGGCGCGGGGCGGCGGGGCGGGCGGGGCGGCGAGGTAACCAGGCAGGTTGCACTGCTGGTATGGCGAGCGATCGGGCCTGGCGGTGGTACCGGCGGGTACGCCACGCCACGGGGTGGGGGGGAGACGAGCGCTGTCAGCATGGTTGCCATGACGACCACCACCACCTGTCTCTCTCCCTCTCTCTTTCAAAGGCCCCGCCTCTCCCTTCTCCTTCTACTGCTCGATTCACCTCACCCTTCCCCTCCCTACTCCGCCTGCTGCGCGCTCTTCTTTGTCCCTCCCTGAGCAGCTCTACTCTCCGCCGCAGCTCTGCTCTGGTCCCCTCTCCTCTCAGCCTCTCTCTCTCTCGCGCGCGCCTCCCCCTCCTCGCGCTCTCTCGCTCGGCTGCCGCTGTGCATCGATCGCCCGACCTTGACCATGGCGCATTCATTGTTGGTGGCGGGGCCGACCTGGGAGGAGGGAGGGTGCGACCCTTTTGGCGAGGGTTGGCGCGTGCAGCGTGCTGCGGGAGGAGGTGAAGGGCACCCAGACGGCTCCGCACGCGCCCAGACGTCCGCCCTATGGTCCATTTCTGGAAGGGTCCCCTTTTCGTGTACCCTAGAGAATGAGAAGGCGGGAGAATAGGGGGGGGGGCTGGTCCCGTGCGGTGCGCATGCTCGAGGCTCCAGAGACCCCTTTACGCCCCACGCTCCACTCCCATCCAGGTACGGGTACCTACGTCACCTCTGACCTTTACAGACGGAATGCGTTAGCCCTGCCCTGCGCCGCAGCGGCCGCAGCAAGGATGGGCCTGGGGCCCTCATGACTCCATCAGTGCGGCACCCCCGTGACCTTTGGCCCCGTGGTGTGGAGGCCGCGGGTTGCGCGCCACTGGAGCAGTGGTAGTAGCTGGAGCACGAGCAGTGGTAGGAGCTGGAGCAGTGGGTAGTAGTTGGAGCACTGGTAGCCGATGGGGCAGTATTGGAAGCTGGAGCAGGTTTAGCAGCTGGAGCAGCGGTAGTAGTTGGAGCTGTTGGGGCAAGCTGGAGTAGCAGTAGCAACGGGAGCAGCCATAGTAGCTGGAGCGGCGTTAGCAGCGAAAGCAGGGGTAGCAGCTGGAGCAGTGGTAGCATCTGGAACAGCTGTAGTAGCAGGAGCAGCGTTAGTGTGTGAGAAGCGGTAGCAGCTGGAGCAGCGGTAGCAGCTGGAGCAGCAAGCAGCAGTGTTGTAGCTGAAGCAGTGGTAGTAGCTTTAGCAGCTGTAGTAGCTGGAGCCCTGGCGGCCGAGCCTGCTCCGCCTGCCCCTGCCCTCATGACTCCACCGCTAACACCCCCATGACCTTTGGCCCCGCTGACTGGAGCCGCTGCTCGACGCTAGAGCCGCGGCAGTGGCTGAAGCTCCTCCTGCTCCTCCTGGATCCTCCAGCGGCGGGCCGGGGGAGTGACTCCCCGGGAGTCAGCGTGGTGTGACGAGCGCGGTGTGTTCTCCTCGCGTGATGGTTCCTTCCCGCACGTGACGTTAGCACGCAGTGGCGGGGCGGGGCGGGGCACCTAGTGTGCGTTTGGATTCTTCACCTGAAAGATCACTGGATACGATTCATACACCGACTGGCTTCCTCCCCTGCCTGCGGCCGCCACTGCTTCCCTCCTCGGCTTCCTTCCGGCTGCGCCTGCTGCCTCCTCGCGGCGGGTACGTACGTGCCTGCGGCATTCCTCGGGACATGGCCGGCAGCAGCAGGAGCCGCCACGAGGAGCAGGCGTTTTCCCGTCTTTTGTCGCTGCTCTGCGCGCGGCTGCGCTGCGCGCTCCCCTGGGCTCGTAATGAGATAGACGCGGACCGGAAATAGAAAGAAGAAGGAGGAGAGAACTTGTCGGGAGAGAAGGAGATTAGACTTGTCGGGGAGCAGCATAGCGCGCGCGCGCGCGAGTCGTGCCGCGTGCCCTCTCCAAGTGAGTGAAGTTGTCCAGCCGCAGGGGGCCGCGGGGCCGCAGACCTCTCCGGAGACCGACAGCCCCGTTGCTTGCCCTGCTGACTATGAGATGGGCGCCACGGTACCATGCATGTTGCTGATGCACCCCACCCACTTCCGAGGCTATCCCATACGTCGGGCTATGCTGTACCGCAGGGCATGCGTGCATTGGAGTTGCCCACTCTCTCAGCACGTAAGACGCAGTGTCAGGGACAACTGTTAGACCATAGGAGGTGACATGCGAAGCCGCACGTTCGAGCTGATATATCGCCAAAGAAGATGAGTATTGACAGCAAGAGATCCTGTTACCCAGAGACCAGCGCAACGTTTTTCACGTAATGTTACAACTCGATCGGTTTATTAAGTTACGTATTTGTAACGGATGATTTGGGGCCCGCAATTTTACATCAAAGTAACTTTTGCGTTATATCCTCACCCTGGTCTCAAACCTTCCTGTACTAATAGGAACAGGAACCTAGAGAAGAAAACATGACTGCTCGATCCGTTTCCTTTTGCGCGCTCATTGGCTCATTGGCTGACTGACACATCGACGTCACGGTCTAACAATCAGCGTCGAGGAAGAAACATATCGGGCAGTCATGCTTTTCTTCTGTAGGTTCCGATATAGTCTTGCAGCGAAATACCCTGTAGAACGGATGGCAAAAATATATTAGCTGCGGTAGCAAATCTCTTTTGAACTGTGCTGATCCTCGCAAACTCTTTGTATACAGTTAATTACCATCAGTACCAGATCCGTATGCATCCTTTACCAGGCCGCCAAAGGGTGTGGGTAAAGATAGACTCCCCCCCGCCCCGCCTTTCCCCACCGCTGCGCGCCGCTGCATAGCTCCGCGCTCCCGCGGGTGACTCACCGCCGGGGCACTCTACTGAGCCGAGCTTCGCGGCCGTGTGCGACGGTCTCATTACAGGACAATCAGTGACAAGTTAGCGTCAGCGTTTGCGCCCCCAGCGAGCAGGACCCACCCGAGGGCGGAGCGGTCCGTGCCAGGCGCCACCCCGCCCCGCCGCGCCGCGCCCCGCCCCGCCCCACGGCGCGCACCTGTTGCCGGAGTTCGTCCTCCTCCCGCCCCTCCGGCGGGCCTCCGGCCTCCAGGCACCGCCGCGCCGACGTGGGTCGGCAGCGTGCTCTGGCGCTCAGCGTGGCTGCTGCAGCTGTAACGCCCTTCATCGCCAGCCCGTCCTAGAAAACGAAAGGATGACACCCGCGCCGCCCCTCGGAGTGATCGTCTCGGCGATAGTGACGGGCGACGCCACCGTGTCGCTGTCGCCGGGGGTCACCAGCGCGC